TTAACTTCTAATGCAGAGCTTGAAACTACGTGAAGCAAAACTGATAGAAATGCAAGGACAAATCTACAATTACAGTTGGAGATTTTTATAACTTTCTTAGTACTTGATGGAACAAGTAGAAAAACACTAAGGATATTGAAAATTTGAGCAAAACCATCCAACTAGACTGACATTTATAAATACACCACCACAGAAGAATGGTTTTCTTAGTGTGCACAGAACAATGACTGAGATAGACTATATATATTCTGGACCAAAACCAAGTTTTAAAAAATATAAAAAAAATTCAAGCCATGTAAGGTGGAATTAAATTATTAATAATTATAAAGATTTCTGGAAAAATCTCACCCAAATTTGGAAAGTAACACACTTCTAAATAACCCATGGATCAAGGAAGAAAGTCAAAGAGAAATTAGGGTTTTTTTGGACTGAGTTAAAACGAAAATGCACCATACCAAACTTTGGGAGAATGCCTCTAAAGCAGTACTTAGAGAGAAAATTGTGATACTAAACACACAAGAATCTAGAAAAAGGACAATTAAGCCCAAAATAAGAGGAAAAAGTAATATCCATCAGAGAGAAATCAATGAAGGAGAAAATGGTGGCAAACTAGAGCTGGGGGGGGGGGGTTGCCGACCTATGTGTAAAGGAAGTCTTACACAAGCATCTAGGCCCTTTCATTTACATATGGTCAGTGACTGCTTTTGTGCTTTTTTGGCAGAGTGGTGACAGAGACCATTTGGCCTAAAAACTTAAGATATTTCCATCCAATCTTTCTTAACAAGTTCACAAGACAAAGTCTGTAAAACAAAAGGCTAGTTCTTTTGAGATCAATAAAATTAGTAAGTCTCTAGCAGACTGATCAGGAAAAAAAGAGAGAAGACACAAATTATCAAACCAGGAGTGAGAGGTGACATCACCATTCTCCAGATTTTAAAAGAATAATACAAGAATATTGAGAACAACTTTATGCTAGCGTAGTCAGTAATTTATATGAAACAAATGAATTCCTTAAAAGACAAATTACCAGAGTTCTCTCCAGAAGAAATATAAGTACATACTTTAAAAATTTAATTAGTTATTAAAAACTTTCCCACAATGAAAACTCCTGAGTGGCTACCCTGATGAATTTTACTAATTCCTTAATGTGGAAATAATAGAAATTCTATACAAAGTCTCCCAAAAACTGAAAAGGAGGGAATCCTTAACATCTTATTCATTGAGGCCAGCATCACCCCCAAACCAAAACCAGATAAAGACATTACCAGAAAAGAGAGCTGTAGGCCTGTGTCCCTCACGAAGAGAAAGGCAAAATTCTCAACAAAATTGAATGCAACCATATATAAGAATACTGAGTGGGATTTGTACCAGGAATACAAAGTTGGTTTAACATTTGAAAGTCTCTCAACAAAATGCATCAAATTAACAATTATAAAAAATATGTGATCATTTCAACAGATGCAGAAAAGGCATTTGACAAAATCCAACCCCGTTCTTGATAAAAGCTTTCAGTAAACTAGGACTAGAAGAAATTCCCGCAACGTAATGAAGGGCACCTCCAAAAAACTTACAGTGGGAGTACTTAATGGTGAAAATCTGAATGCTTTTGCCCCAAGATCAGGAATAAGGCAAAGATGTTTGTCCTCACCTGGTCTATTCAGCATCATGTTTGAGGCTCTAGCCTGTGTGATTAGACTGAAAAAAATAAATGAAAGGTGCCCAGACTGGAAAGGAAGAAGAAAAACTATTTGCAGGTAGCCTGATCACCTATGCAAGGTGCCTGGCAAGTCAGCAGAGAAAGGATAGACTTTTCAGTAAACAGAATTGGAACATTCATATGCAAAAGAATGAGCTTCAATTTAGACCTTTTACCTTGTACAAAAATTAGCTCATAGGCTTAAATGTAAATCCCAAATCTATGCAACTTCTGAAAGAAAGCCTAGGAAAAGACTTTTATGATCTTGAGTGAAGCAAAGATTTCTTAGCTACAATACAATGCAAGCGCAGTCAACAAAGGAAAAAAATAAGAAATTGGATTTTTCAAAATTAAAAACTTTTGTTCTTAGAAATACACTGTGAGTAGAATGCAGGAAAAAAAAGACATAGATGGGAGAAATATTTGCAAAGCAAATATCTAATAAAGAACGTGTCTAATAAAGAACTCTTAAGCCTCAATAACGGAAAATAACCTATTTAAAAAACTGGCAAAAGATTTGAACAGATGTTTCACTTAAAAAAGTTCATGGATGGCAATTAAGTAAATAAAAAGATGTCTACCATCTTGAGTCCTTTGGGAAATGCAAATGCAAAGCCAGTGTTGTACCTCTACACATCTGTTAGAATGGCCAAAAGTGAAATGGGTTGGCAAGGATGCAGAAGACCTGGAACTCTCGTGGTGCCGTGGGGGACTGGTGGTGTGGCTCAAGTGGTACGGTGCCTGCTTTGCAAGCTCAAGCCCTGAGTTCACACTCCAGTCCCATAAAAAAACAAAACAAAACAAAAAAATCATAGTGCTGGTAGAATGTGAAATGGTGCAATCACTGTGCAAAAGAGTTTGTGACTGTTTCCTAAAACATTCTTCATACACACAATCTATACATACATAAAGAAACACACAAAAATGAAACACTGAGGCTCAGTGCACAGGGATGGTGGTGGGGCGGGATGCTGGCCAGGGCACAGTGGGCATAAGGGTGTCTGCAATCCTCTGTGGATTCTGAAACTTATTGGCACAGTATGGTAACCCTCTTTAGGAAAAAGAATTTTAAATGGAATTCAAGATTAGATGTAAAGTGAGTATTTAGGGTGACAGATTCTTGGAGCTATGGATCTCCAGATTCCTTTCTTCTGGGTTGCCTTGAGACACTTTTCCAGAAAAGACCATGCAGAAAAGCTTCCTGATGGCATCAGCTTCCTCTCCCATCCAGAACAGTCAGGCATTCCAGCCCTGATGCATCGAGTGTGGTGGCAGCCTCAGTGGCAGTGCTCATGCCCCCGTGAATATACACAATAGCTGCTGAACTGCTCTGGGCTTTGGGCTCTGGCTCCCAAGTTCCTTCCTCCCACCTCCACTGCTGTGCTGCTCAGGAGTGGTGTGAGCCCAAGACAGCAGGGCTCATCTGCATCCTGACATCTCAGGGCCCCAGCAGCATTGTCTCCTTGCTCACCACCCTCTTAAGCTTTGGCTATGGCCTCTCCAGCCTGCTGTCCCAGTCTTAGTGCCTGCTCATGGCACCCCTCAGTGAGGATGCACCTCCTCTCTGTGCTCCAGCCCTCAGAGCAGCATCCTCAGTTTCCCCAGTCCTAGGCAGCCTTGCCATGACCCTAACAGGTTGCTCACCCTTCAGGGGTGGTGGTAAGGGGTGTGGGGTGTCTAAAAGCCCAGAGCCAGGACCTAGAATCCTTGACTCCACCACTTATGAGTTGTGTGAGTTCAGGCAAATTACTTGATTACTCTGTGCCTCAAGTTTCCTCATCTGTAAAATGTGAATGTTCGGTTGGGGGTGTAGCTCAGTGGTAGAAAACTTGCCTAACATATACAAGGTCCTATTAGATCAAGGGCAAACACAACAAGGGGATTGGACTATGAGCACATGATAAAAGTGAGAGCACACAAGGGAGGGGTGAGGATAGGTAAGACACCTAAAAAACTAGCTAGCATTTGTTGCCCTTAATGCAGAGAAACTAAAGCAGATACCTTAAAGCAACTGAGGCCAATAGGAAAAGGGGAACAGGTACTAGAGAAAAGGTTAGATCAAAAAGAATTAACCTAGAAGGTAACACCCACGCACAGGAAATCAACGTGAGTCAATGCCCTGTATAGCTATCCTTATCTCAACCAGCAAAACCCCTTGTTCCTTCCTATTATTGCTTATACTCTCTCTACAACAAAATTAGAGATAAGGGCAAAATAGTTTCTGCTGGGTATTGAGGGGGGGGAGCGGGAGGGGGCGGAGTGGGTGGTAAGGGAGGGGGTGGGGGCAGGGGGGAGAAATGAACCAAGCCTTGAATGCACATATGAATAATAAAAGAAAAATGAAAAAAAAAAAACATATACAAGGTCCTGGGTTCTGTCCTCAGAACCTCAAAAAAGAAAAAAAAACATGCAGATGGTAGCAGATGAGGATTAAGGAGCAGGCATGTGTCTGCTCTGTTCACTGGAAAAGACCCAGAGTGTTCCGTTCCAATGATTGGGGATCATTTATTCCTGCCTAGGCTCCATTCCTGGGCAGCAAGAACAGACTGGGGCTCCCAGTACTTCCTGCCCCCACCCTCTCTCTCTCTCTGGGACATAGGTCTCTGGGACTCCCATCTCACAGCAAAGAGGTGCTAGGGCCTTAGCGAGAAATGGTGAATTACATGTTTCTGGATGTGGAGAGTGTGATACCTGGAGAACACTCATCCTTAAAAATCCCTTAAACTGTCCACAAAGTTCAGCATCGATGGTTTTTTGAACATCCCAAGCATGGAAACCTGAGGCCCAGAAGAGGTGCTGGAGGGGAGGAGTCCATGCATAAGCTGCTGAGCCCCTGGCCTTCTGTCTTCGGGTGTGGGCTTTGAGGGAGTCCAGTGGGAATTCTGGGGTGCTGTGCTCTGTCCTGTTTTAACATCCAGCCTCTGTAACCTTGACACATTCCAGGAATCCAGCTTCATCTTCAGAATGGGGAGGGAGGCCAGCAGGTCAGAGCTCAGGTTAAAATAAAAGCACATAGTGACTCACTAAAGGGCCCTTCAGGTGGGTAAGGTTGATTGAAACAAAACATGCAGTGAGGCCCCTGCGGGGAACTGAACTGCCTTAAAATCTGCATGCTTTTCTTCTAATTGCGCCCTGGGATGTTTTTAATGATTTTAATTTTGATATGAAAAATAACAGACTAAGGGAGAAAAGAGAAACTGGACAGGGCCTCAGAGAAAGATGTGTGAGGTGTGAGAAAGACTGGACACAAACAGAACCCAAAGCAGGGGGACCCTGTAGTAAACCTCGTCTCCCTGTCTTGCAGGTGGTGCCGGGGAGCAGGAGAAGGTGCCGGCCAACCCCGAAGCACTCCTGCTCATGGCCAGCTCCCAGCGTGACATGGAGGATTGGGTGCAGGCCATCCGCCGGGTCATCTGGGCCCCACTTGGCGGAGGTACTGCCCGTAGCTCGCATGCCCACCCTGTAAAACCCTTGCCTACAGGTAATCTTCCCCTCCCCCACCCCGAGCCCACAAGTTCCGTCTGGCTCAGAACTTGCTGGCTGTGTCCTGCTTGTCTGTCAGCAGCCTGGCCCTTCTGCTGCTGCTATGAAGTTACACACACTTCCCACCCATGTACCAAGCAGGACCCGGGGAAGGGGACACCAGACCTGACTTTTAAAAAGCAGTATCCCGTGGTGTACTGGCCTCCCTGCATGCAGACTCCCTGATGGAGCCAGGCAGGAGGAAAGTGGTCTGCACACAGGCAGAGGGGCTGCGTGTGGCCTGGGTTCATACCCAGAACCTCAGTACACCTTCCTTCCCCTCTGCCAGGCCTCTCTGTGACCACATGGGGACCTTGTCCTGCTCTCAATTCCACTCTCTTGCATTTACTCACTTCTTCCTTTATTCAAAAGCGTTCAGTGGGTGCCTAAAGGTACCCAGTTCTGTTCCAGGCACTCTGTTCCTTCACCCTACCTTCCTTGACACTCTCCATGGGAGACAGACGTAGATAACAACATGGGTCTTCTGATGTCCAGGAGTGAGAGATGCAGGAAAGCAAAGTCAAAGCTCAGTGAGAGGATAGAGGTGTTGTCATTAAATGAGGGGACCCAGCAGACTCAATAAAGGGACCAGGAGAGTCAGGGGCATGCTGGAGAAATGCACTGGCAGAGGAACTGACAGATGCAAGGGCCCTGAAGTAGGAATGAGCTGTGGGTTTGAGGGGGTGATAATGGGGCGAGTAGGAGGGGCCTTGGGACAGTGGGGTGGGGGGGAATCAGATTTTGTTGCAGATGTAATGGGAGACAGAGGACATGGTCAGATAGGGGAGAGATAGGACATGACTTACATTTATGAAAAGCCCTCTGGCCTGCACGTGAGAAGTAAACCAAAGAGACAAGAATGGACATAGCTGGCCAGACAGTCATGGACAAGTAGTGATGGAGACACTACTTGGGGTGGGAGTGGAGAAGATGGTGTCGATAAATTCTGAAGGGAACTGTCCGGTTATGCCCAGGTCTGGACATGGTGCAAGAAAAAAGAACAGATGGCTACAGCCATGTGGCTGCTGCCTCAGTAGATTAGTGCCCATGTGACATCCTAATGAAGGAACTTTTATGAGGCTGTCACCACATCAGGAGTTAAGGAGAGGAGGGCATAACTCCCTGCTGCATGTGGAGACCTGTAACCTTCACACTGGCCGGGCCTGACCACAAAGCCACGGGTGTCCTGTTGTTTCTCCCTCCGATGTTTGGTGCAGTCAGGCAGGGACATACCCTCACTTTGGGGGCCCAAAGCCCACCTCTGGCTCTCACGAGCTCTGTAGGCTGGGTCTCCCTTCATTGCCCCTTCATGTCCCACCTCTCCAGCTGTCCTATCCTGGCCCCGCTTGGGCCTGCCTTACCACTTTCATTAAGCCATAAACCCCCGCAGTGGGAGAGTCAATATAACAATGAAAGTTAGAGTTGCTCTCCTGGGCTTCATAAATGGCACCACTGTTAAGCCATAGCTCCCAGACCCCTGGTTATCACAGCAAATTTGACCCATAGTCCCAGATTAATGGCTTCAGAAGGCTGGAGCCACACAGGGCCTCCTGAAGCCTCCTAGGTCTTCCTTTGGTGCTAGGTTGTTGAAAGTGACCCAACGGACAGAGGAAAAGCCAGAGAAGACTCCATGTGGCCAGGCTGTGGTTCATAAAAGGTGGCACCTTGGGGTGCCAGAGAAAGGAGAATATTGTCAGGGTTTGGAGTCAGGAAAGATTTTTTAAGTGTTACAAAATGCGCTCATCTTTTAGAAACAGATTGATAAGTTCTACTACATGAAATGAAGAACATGTTCTTTCAAAGGGGGAATGAAGAGACTGGAAAGGGGACCTGTAGGCTGGGAGAGAGGATATTTGTAACACATAAAGCCATCAGTGCCTCCCTCCTCAAAGTGACAGATCAGTAAGGCAAAGAGAAGCTAGAAGAAGCATGAATAGGCAGGATTTGAACAGGCACTTGGCAAAAGATTAAGCGTGGTCAGGCGGTGTGTGGCCTCATCAGGAAATGCAACTTCTCACCACCAGAACACTAAATGACAAAGACAGACACCTTGAAATGTGATGCTGTTAGAGAGCTAATAATCTAACATAAATTGTAGGGAAATTGCTTGGTTTATCTGGTAAAGTCACTGCTACTGTTCATGGGGTCCAGCAGTTCCAGTGAGAGGCAGGTCCCATGCAGAAATGTGCACAGACATCAGGGGACTTGGACACAGTGGATGTTCACAACAAGTTTATTCATGATGGCAACCCAAGTGCCAGCAACAATGCAACGAATAAGTATCAATGCAGTGGGGAAACTACAACTGTGTGAAGGAAGAACTGCCTCTCTGCATGCATGAACCTTTAACACAATGTGGAACTGAAGATGCCAAACTATGGGGCAGAAGCAAGATATAGCATTTATGGGTAGGTAGGCAGTGGAAATATAAAGAAATAAAAAGAAAAGCAAAGAAATGAATGATAAAACTCAGCATAGTAAGAAGAAGTGAAGAGGTTAAGGGACAGCATAGTTTCTGGAATGTTCTCTAGCTTGATTTTGGGTTAGCAGTTACACAGGTGTTCATTTTACAATAATGTGTAAATGTGCACATTTATGCTTAAAGTACTTTTCAGGATGTGTACATATTTCTCTACATAAAAGATTTAAAAGAGAGAGAAAAACTAAGCATCAAAGAGGCTGAGTAATTTGCTCAAAGTGACAAAGTCAATTAAGCAGGAACTGACCTCAGAGGCTATGCTTGGTACCCATTCCAGCAGTGTACCCAAGACCGGCCCCAGGCAGGACACCCTATCAGTTCTACCTGTGTGGGGTTGCTCAGCTCATGTAGATTCCTCTTATTCCCTCTCCTGCTTGCTCAGAATGAGGACCCGGGGCACAGTCGCCCCTCCCAGGGCTGTGTGCTGTCCAGGAAGGATCTGTGTGTGGTACACAGGCACTGCCATCAGAGGTGCCTATCTTTCTACCAGAAACACAGAGGAAATGCAGCACCACTAAGCGAGTGAGGTCGACAGGTCTGGGCAAGCTTGACACTCACAGATGGGCTCAATGGGTCCCTGAAGGATTCTTGGCAGCCCCTGGTAGCCTGGGTCCCCTGGAGGAGGACTGAGAGGCTTAAAGGAGCCATCCTGTTCTCATAACCCCGTTGTGAAAGTGCATGGGCGCTTCTCACAGACTCCAGTGGGCAGCGTGTGTGCTGTGGGCGGGAGAGCCCAGCTGTCCCCACAGAGAAGACAGGGCTGGCACTGGGCTCTTGTGGACCTCATCACTCATTCATTCAGCAGGACATGTGGGCCCTGTCCTCACGAGTCCACATTCTAGCAGAGGAGGCAGATGGCAAGCAAGCTACAAAATCCACTGCAGGCCAAGTGGTGTGAGTGCAGGGCAGGGTGGGTTGGAGAGTGGGCTTGGAATTTGGTGACCCCTCAGTGAAAGAGGTGAAACAGTGAAGGATAGCATGGTGGCGGCATGGTGTCCATGCTGAAGTGCAGCGAGGAGGCCAGGGTGATGAGAGCAGCAGATCAGGCAAAAGGGGGAGAACAGGAGGAAGGAAAAGGGGCCTGTCTTGGTGGCACGGTTGGTGCCCCAGGGTTTTAGACAGAGAGGTGGTAGAGCCTGAGAGGATCCCTCTGGCTGCAGTGTTGAGAATGACTAAAAGGAGGGCAGGAGAGAAACAGAACAGTTAGGAATTCCTTACCCAATAATGCAAGCGAGAAGGAAAGTGGCTTGCCCAGGATTGTGGTGGTGATGGGAAGCACAACCAGACCTTCATTTCTGTGGATTCAACCATGAATCAGAAATGTTAGAGAAAAAGAAGTGCATCTGTCCAGAGCATGCACAGACTTTTTCTTGTCATTACTCCCTAAACAATACATTGTAACAACTACATAGCATTTACATTGCACGGGACGTCATAAATAATGCAGAGATGATTTAAGGCGTATGGGAAAGGAGTGGTACTGTGACTGTGGTTAAGTGGTACAGCCCCTGCCGGTGTAGTATGCATGAAGGTCTAGGTAGTTTGAGCCCTAGCAGAAGACGGGGTTGGGGGGAGAGAACCAATGTATATGGGAGGATGTGTGCAGGGATTATATGCAAATACTACACTATTTTTTATATAGGGGACTTGGGCATCTATCTAATGATTTTGGTATCCACAGGAGCACCCAGAACCAGTGCCCCATGGGTACTGCAAGATGGCTATAATTGAATTCTGCACTCACTTTGAAGGTAGAGCGAGTTCTATTTCCCAGATGGACATAAGAGAATGAATGAGAGAAGTCACAGTTCATTCAAGGGTGCTTGATCCAAGGATGGGTTGGCCATGAACTAAAATAGAAAACCATAGGAAATAAAGTTGTTTGGAAGGAAGGTTGAGACTTAGTTTGAAGTGCCTCCTAGAAGCTTAAGTTTGGATGTCAAGCAGGCACTTAGATATTTAAGTCGAGTTTAGGCTGGAGAGAGAATTTGAGGAACTACTACTGGCTTATCAATGGGGTTTGAAGCCACAAGGCTGGATGAGACACCAAGGAGCAAGTGTAGGGACAGCAGAGATCTGACTGCCTCCAGGTAAGAAATCAGGAACGCCACAGAATGAGAGGGCCAAGAGTAAGGACCCAGAGCCAAGTGAGGGCAGGTACACTAAGGCAGAAAAGCAGTGATCAGCCGTGGCAAGTGCTGCTGCTCCATCAACCTGAGGAGGCTCCAGATGAGCGTGTTCAATGGTGACTTGAACAGGGTGGCTTTGATGGCATGCTAGGAGTACAACCTGGTAACAGTGGTCAGGAGACATGACGTCGAACAGGAATGGGACTGTGGACATAGTAGCTCCATCAGGAAGTGTGCTGTAAGGGGAAGGGGAGTGGGACAGTAGCTGGAGTTGGAGATGAGTAAAAGTGGGTGCATATTTTT